GCCACGGGGTCATTTTCATTGCATCCATTGACGAACCAGCGAAGATTTGTACCCATCAAATTCGAAAAATTAATTGCGTTAGAGTAGTATTTCTTATCTAAACTATCGTTAAAAGTAGTTTCCAGGAATTTCGACGAACTACATTTTTTTATATCGCACTACTCACTGCTTTAGTTTTTTAAAAAAATAGCTCACTACACTACAAATTACGAAAAAAGTAGCGACTGCAGTAATTTCACTACTTGTAGTAAGCTGCTATAGACCAGTGTTCCCCAACCTTTTTATCACCACGGACCTGTCAAGGTTTGATAATTTTATCGCGGCCCGGTGGGGGGACGGACGTTGATTGTTTATATTTAAAATCATTTTGGTTTATTAATTTTAATTTAATTGTATTTAAACATGCCTTCAAAATAAAATACAGTTACACCAAAAAATAAATATAAAGTGATTTAACATTTTAATTTAGTAGAAAGACAAGTCAATGACAACCTTGAGCTTGTTTCTTTGCAATGAGACGGTTCCATCTGGGGGTAATCGGAGACAATGACACCCGAAGTGTGTTGCTTATGTCCAGCTTATTCCGTTGCCTTGCTTTGGTTGCTGTTACATCCGATAACCCCACTTCACACAGATAGGTTGTCGAAAATGGCAATAGGGATTTAAGTGTTGTGGTCGCAATCTCGAGGTATTCTATCTTCGGGGCTACCTTTTTTTCAATAAATAAAAATTTAATAAAGCACAGATATTTTTAATTTGGGGTATAAACCTGGGAATTTAAATTCAGTTTCAATGAAATCGGCTGCCCGGTACCATTTGATCCACGGGCCGGTACCGGTCCGCGGACCGGGGGTTGGGGAACACTGCTATAGACTACTGTTCTCAAGCTTTAGTTTACAGTTAATTCAGTTAGTTTAGTTCTAGTTCATAGAATGCGCAAAAAAGGAAAAGCAGTAAAAATCTTAAGGTAACCAATTACCGTTTATAAGCCTATTTTGAATAGAGTTTTTTTTTTTCATTTTTATATAAAATAAAACTATGAACCTATCTTTTTTTTAAAAAACCGTTTGAGTTTTATTTCTGCGTCAAATCGAACATAAGTTATGATAATTTTTAAAAAAATCATTTATTTTGATTATTACATTGATTATCGTGCTTCTGTTGTCCTTTTCCTCAAAACTAATTTTTCGGTTATTTTCCTTCATTTTCAATGCAATACCTCAAAATGTTTTAGTTCGTATTACTTGAAATTTTGCATGAATGTTTTCTATAGATATGTCTAGTGAGTAAACTACGGATTAGTTGATTAAACTACTATTTAGTATTTTACATTTAAATTAAAAATAACTAATTGCGGTTTCTGGCCCTTTTCGCCAAATAAGTTTCTATATTAGTTGTAAAGTATCTAAATAATAATATTACATCTAATGCTTAGCCTATTCCCTTAGTAGAATATTTTAAGGAGTATTATAAAGCAAATTAATAAAATAAATAAGTAAATCTCAACAAAGTCATGTAATTTTGAAAAAAGGTTAATTTTTGGTCTTTCTTTTATTAATTTTTCTCTCATATTTTCAAGAAAACAGTTTTTATATACATATTTTTTTTGTATTCATTACATGTTTTAGTGTATAATACAAGCATAATTCCAAGTAAAACATTTCTAAATTAAAAACTTCAAAATTTTGCCTTCGAAGGAATTTGGGTACATCAATACGTTTTCATCGATTGGTTGGAATTTCACGTACTAGTACTCAATATTTTCAGATCAAGGGGTCAACATTAAATACGCTAATTACTTAGTGCAGACTGTATTTTATGTTACGAAATCAGACATAACAACGCATTTTCTTCTGAATAAACATACATTTGTTTTTTCCACGTATATAACATTCTTGGTTCTTAAATTATGGGGGTTGCCACTATCTGGAAAATATGGTCGCAATAGTTTAGGCTTGAGAGCCGTCGAAAAATTCGGTATTCAAACGATTAAAAAAAAAAAAAAAACGNAAAAAAAAAAAAAAAAAAAAAAAAAAAAAAAAAAAAAAAAAAAAAAAAACATCTTGATTCGTATTCACTCTATTTAAATGAAGGGAAAGTTAACTGATCTCTCAAGGATTGGAAATAGTTAAAGCGGAGAAAAAAATGGTGTCCATTGTTTGCTAGGAGACAATAATGAAAGATTAAAGCTAGCCATTTCAAAAAGCGACATGAAGAACATAAAAGTTGCTCAAATGATGATTGATGCTGAGAATAAAAGTAAAATTAATGACTCAAAAAAAAAAGAAAGAAAACTGGCAATGATATAACTAAAAAAAATGAATATTATTTATCCAAGTTTCCATGTTCTAATTTGATTTTTGAAGAAATAAATGTATATAGAAAGAAATAGTTTATCATATTTTAGTTATGATTTTCTTTTCCACTTGTTAATCAAATAATTCCCTTTAAGTAAATGATAGAAAGTTAATTTTAATTTTTTTAAATTTTTTTTTATTATTGGAGAGTATTGATATGTTTGAATATTATAGATATACCTATATATTTAAATCTTTGATTTTCATGCATTTGGCTTATAAGCATGTTGTAAATGCAATTACGGAGAGAATGAACGTACGGCGAGAGTGTGGAGAGAATATATATTGCTCAATAAATTACTCAAAATCATTTGCCCGTAAACTTAAATTTGCCCTTAAATTTTATATATTTTGCATGTTGCGTATTCCGTCATTTCAAAAGCTTACATTTCGTGTTTCTATATTTTCATTTCTCCAAATTTTATTCAACCAATTTCCTTCATATGTTGGAATTCGACAATTTAAATAACGTAGATTAAATTGGCGTAAATTCAAAATTTTTAAAAACCTTTAGTAAATTACTAATAAAAAATGATAAAAAAAACTATCTTTTGATTGGAATTATCTTTGAATAAATTAAATTTGTATTTGTAGGTAATTTTCTTTTTGTTTAGATATATTTTTTTTTCCAAAATTTATTCAACCAACTCCCTTCATATGTTGGATTTCGATAATTAAAATATCGTAGATTAATTTGGCTTAAATTCAAAATTTTTTAAAACCTTCAGTAAATTAACTAATAAAAAAATTATCTTTTGATTGGAATTATCTTTGAATAAATTAAATTTGTATTTGTAGGAAATTTTTTTTTTAGATTCGCCTATAAAATTCTTGAGATATGGCAAAAAAAGTTAAAAGTGAAATTAACGTTAAGGGGCTCAAACTTTTTTACTACTCTTGTTTGCTTGAACTACTAAAACCCTATTTTCAAGATGGTGGCGGCACCCCACATTTTGAGGCTCAAAACTCCGAATACATTGAAAAAATGTATGTTTATTCAGAGGAAATCCGTTTATGTGTTCGATTTCGCATTTTAAAATTATCGTCTGCACAAATTCTTTTTCGTTTGAAAAGTCATTTGAAATATTAATATCGAGTCTCCCAAGCGTTAAAATCGGATCGTAAGATTAAAAGTAATTAAGAGTGCTCTCCGAAAAATAAATCTGTTAATTTAAATAGTTTATAAAAAGCAGAATTAAAATATTTATTCTATTAATCTTTATGTACAAACAAAATCTAACAGCTAGAAAAAAGGAAATTGATGTTACACTAATTAAAACTGAAAAGTTCGAATTAAAATGGTGAAGGACGAAATAATATATTCTTTGAAAGGGCAATTATTGCCGAACCCCCCCTTTCCCTATGATTTATTAACTGGATACGCTTTTCCTATTTTTATTCCAGTTTTCCTCAGGCTCATTATCTGGAAACATGGAACAAAATCAGGATTAATGACCAAAAAGTACACGCCTCAATTAGTCGAATGTTTGCTAGGAAAAATAATTACGCTTTATATTTATTTGTTTTGCCGAAATTATGTGTGCAAAAAATATGAAGAGGCAGATCTTAGTGATTGCCTTCCGCTTATCACTATTCAATTCTCACATTCATATATTTCGACTGTTTACTCATTAATTTTTTTTGTCATCTGTTCATAAAGAAAATTACTTTTATTGGGAGTAATTTTCTTTGTTTCATGTTTTTAGTAATTAGTTGGTAAATACCTGTCTGTAGCTGTCTTTAACTGAGTAATGAATATTGAGCGATTATGAAATTATTTATAGTTTTTATTTATTCATTTTTTTGTCTGTAGTTATTAAGGAATGGATTTTTTGTGGACTCTATTTTGCAACATCGTCTTGAAAATTTTCCTTGAACAAATATAAAGGTTTTTCATAATTGATGAATCTTTTTGCTGGGAAATTCTACGGCTTTGTGCCGTATGTAATGCATAGTTAATATATTTGTTTAAAAATATTTTGTAAATATAGATATCGATGCCGAAAATAGCTTAGAACCAAATGTGAATAGATAAAGCTAACTTTATTCATATTCATTAAAAGAAACAGGTGTAAAATTATAATTTTTGATCGTCCCTTTGACTTGAAATTACCCAGAAGGACATATTAACTGAAATTTCAGTATAATTGAGAAAATAGCTTTCGAAAGTGTACAAAAATTTTAAGATGCCGCTAACAAAGTATTTATTTTCATTGTCCATCTATATTATTTGCATCACGTTTTTATTAGTTATTTTTAAGAATACTTGTTTATAATTTTATGTTACTGTTACTGAATAATAAATGGTTATAGTAAATAAATTTCCATTCCTATACGGTTATTGAAATTGTACTTTTCTTTCAAATCCATATACTGAGTTTCCGTCTGAAAACCATTTGTTTCTAACACAATTTACTTCTGCCAAAGCACGTCTGTTCTACAAAATTTCGCGAGAGAATTTTATTATTGCATTGAGGCAAATAAAATCGTCTGACTCAATGCAAAACTCAAATGGCTCCAAACAGTGAATCAAAAATATTGTATGATTCACGCTAAACACTGGAAAAAACCGTGATTTGTTTCGGAGTGCCTTTGCTTTGATTTATTTTATGTCTTTTCTAAAACGAAAATGTATTATTTCAGGAACGACAGCTGATTTGGGAAATGCATTATGCAACAAAAATGCCAGTATTGCCATTTCATTTCGAGAAGTATCCTCGAGGCCAAGGCTCTTCACACATACTATAGTCACTATTGATTTTCTAGTGACAGGTTATCGACTCACATTTAGTGTTGATCCTAATAAAGGAAAAAGTGAGTTATATAGAGATTAGAATTATTTATGCTATCTCAGAAATTATGTAAAAAAATTATCGTCTGTTTTTTGTGAAATGCCTTAATGTTTTTTTTTTAAATTTCAGAATCGATATAAGAAATGAATTATCGTCTGCTTTTATAAAATTCCTTGATGTAATTTTATTTATTTTATCGATGGAAGTTATTATCATCTGCTTTTGTATAGTGCTTTAATTTAATTTTGCTTTCATTGATATTGATCTAAGAAATTTTTTTTTCTTATAATAACTTAATTTTACTAATGCCTTTTTATTAATTCTGATTCTGATTAATACCAAATATTCTGATTGAATTCTACTTTTATTAATAGTTACTTATTATTATATTGAATCGATATGATAACAGTTCCCTTCTACAAAAACTTTTCAAAGTTATTTGGTCAACAGTTAACAGCACACGATACCGGATGTCCCAAAAATGGTTGACGATTCAAAATATTAATTAAAGAAAATTGGAGTGTGATAAAAATATACGATTTGCTGAGTTCTGGTTAGGAAATATAGTTTTTATTTGTATTAAGTTTCAAAATTAGTTTCAAGGTCCATTAACCGATGTCACTGTTAATTGAGAAATACTCTAAAATAATATTTTCAAAATAATCACTATTTCCAAGAAGTACTTATTTTAATCTGAGAGAATTTAAAACATTGTTAATTTTCTTAAACATTTATTATTTTTGAATTATATACAATTTTTTAATGTTTAATCAATAATTTATCAATTATCAATTGATTCATTTTTCACAGATCTTATCTCAATCAACTGTGATAAAGCAAAGACTTTGTGTTTCTTTTTTAAATCATATTTTATGGTTAAATATTGTTCAATTACCAAAAAATGCTGAAAACTGAAAACAATAGAGAAAACGAAAATCAGAATTTTGATCAAAATTCCAAAATGGCTAGGTAAAAGAAATCGTAAGTATGCGACTAAAATATAAATTTAGAATTATTAAATTTAGAATTATTAAATTTACACTTGATGAAGTATAAATTTAGAAAGATGCAATAGACATTCAAAAAGTTAAAATATATATTTTAGCATCTAATTTTTAATAAATCATTTATTCAAACATTAACGCCTTTAAAGACTCATATTCTTAGTGTTTAATTCAGCAATGGCACATATATATTTTTGGTACATAAATTTTATAAAACAAATCTAGAATTGAAGGAAAATTTGCATTAAGGTTGAAATATGCTTCCTGAAATTAAGCATTAATATTTCATAGCGTGGATATAAAACAATAACTAAACAATTCTAAAACACCATATATATTTTTTTGAAAAAAAAATTATGCTTTGAATCAATATCAGGTCTTAGCCTTAAGAGTTGTTTAGTTCTAAGATTTACTGTTAGGCTTCACATAGGATTAGTTGTAGGGTTTTTAGTATCATGAAAAAGTATACGAAACTCAAAATTTTAAAAAAAAAAAATACCAGTTACTCAGCTGACCATTATATATTTTTTTTGGTAGTAATAGTTTTATGTGTCGTAATGAAAGTTTTCTTTTAAACACGTCATTTCAGGAATAAACGATTCAGTTGATTCCGGTGAATAAATTGTTTTCATATTTTGCAGTGTTAATGACTCTAAATGGGCCAAATGATCTAGAGCAAAAGTATCAGATTCCGGGAAATTTATCAGCAGGAGAACATATAACAATATTCCTACCCGATCCAAGAAAATCTACATCACCTGCAGTTTTGCAAATTTTTGTGAATTGCTCTTTGCAACAATCTATAGAATTGCCAAAGTCAATGTTCGACATGCTACAACATCACACAGAAGTTGCTGTGGTAAGTTACATGCTATATTTAAAATCATCAATGGTTAACGTACATTTTTAGAGCCTTTCTCAGCTTATGTTAAGAGAGACATATATTGCGACTATTTTACTAAAGCTACATGACTCTAAAACGCCTGCTTTGCTGACATAGACCGTTAGGCTCCACATAGAGTTAGTTTTAAAGTTCTTCTGCAGCCTGTATAGAGTCAGTTTTAAAGTTCTTCTGCAGCCTGTATAGAGTCAGTTTTAAAGTTCTTCTGCCGTCTATATAGGGTTAGTCTTAATTTTTTTCTGCAGCCTATGTTAGAAAAGACATATATCGGGGTAATAGTAATAAATTTATATCGCTCATGGGCTGCAATAGAGGCACAACTCAAAAAATCATGTTTTGAGATAAGTGGGTTTAAAGTTTTCATTGCTAATGAAAATGCATAGGAAATGCTTTAGTTTGCTTAAACGAAGATTACCCTCAAGTTGAATTATGAGTTCGCTAGTATTGCTGCTGAAAAGAATGTGTATTTTCATATTTACACATGTTCTTAGTCCAAAAAACGTGTTTTTTGAGTTGCGACTCTATTGCAGCCCATGAGCGATATAACTAAAACGCTTGTTTTTGCCAATATCTGTTTATAGATTTCACATAAGTTTTTAAGGGTTTTCTGCCTGCCTATAATTAAAAAGAGGCATATATCCCGGTAATAGTTCTAAAGCTAACTAACTCTAAAACAAACTCTAAACAAACTCTAAAACGTCTGTTTTGCTAATATCTACATCTAGGTACCTTATCGGGTAAGTTAAAGGTCTTCTGCAGCTTATGTTAGGAAGGACATTCATTGTGAGTATTCGACTTCAGCTAGATGCTCTTAAAAGTCCCTGTTTCGCTAACTTCTATCGATAGGTTCCCCACTAGGTTGATTTTAAAGTGTTCCGCGGCCAATATTAAGAAAAAGACATGTATCGTGGTAATAGTAACAAAGCTAGATAACTTTAAAACGCTTGTTTTGTTGACATCTTCCGCTGTAGATTCTACATAGAATCAGTTTTAAAGGTCTTCAGCAGCCTACGTTAAGAGAGGGCATACATTGTGAGTATTCTACTAAAGTTAGATGCTCTACAATACATGTTTTGCAAACATCTACGTCTACCGATATATAGGTAACTTCAACCTATGTAAAAGGCATATACTAGGTAATACATAGTTACTCAAGCTAGATAACTCCAAAACGTCTGTTTTGCTAACATCTATCCCTACGTCCACATTAGCTATCAAGTTATTTATTTATGGCATTTCTACGCTATAACTAGATAATCTAATCATGAAAACGCATACACATCTTGTAAATATTAATTTACCCCCGATATAATTGCACTTGTTACTGAACAGTTAATAGATTTCATACGCTAATTGACAAATCCGATTCTTTGCAAGCAGTATTATTTTGCAATTAGCCTAGCTAGTTGGATGTGTTAGTAGTATTTTCTATGCAGCCTGGCACTTTCTAGGCTAAATGCAGTGAGCTCATACCTTCAGGCTGACAAGAAAATATCCATTGTTCAATTGGTATTTATTTTATAGACCCACTTAAGGGATGAAAGGTTGGGTCAACCATGCCCGGTTCGACGATAGAACCCAGAACCTGTGGCACGAACACGCGAAGCGCTTATTTAAGAATGTATTAAATTTAATTTATTTTTAATCAATTAAATTTAATCTAAAGATTAAAAAGTAAATAAAAGATATATATTAACTCGGATGAGAAACTAAATTCTTTACAATTCTTACCGCTACTTTAATAATTTTTAAAGTAATATATCCTGACAACATCTTCAAAACAAATTCCTTGAAAGTTAAAGACACGCGTATTATAATAATAACACTTAACTTAATAAAGGATAGTTTTAATGATGAGCGTTAATGAAATTTCTGCAATTCCAAATTCTAAGAATCATGTTGCATTCAAAGGGAATTGTCATAATATCAGAACAGATTTTAAGTCTTGTCTTTTGAAATAAGATATTCAATCTTTTATGTCAATGCTGCTGTAATCAATGAGAAAATCTGAATATCGTGAAAAGTTTTAAAAACTTAATGTTACATAAAATGAGTTGACAAGTCTATTGAGTAAACGATTTCTGATTCCGCCATTTTAATTTTCAAAAGAGAGATAATCGTTTGAAGAGACCATTAGGAAAAAGAAATATACTGAAATGAAAGCATGATAAAACGACCGGAAAATAATATTTTCAACCATCTGGGATAAAATTGAATCCATATGCAGGAATAACCGCAGACAATTTCTTTCTTTCTGCGCCATTGAACAAAAAAAATATTAAGTTCTTTTTGTTCCATTTTGATGCGGCGGATGATGTTCTTCCATCTTGCATCCGGTAGGGAAGAAAAACGCACTCTTTTTGCTAAATTTTGACGTCATTTTTACAACAAGAGAATGTTTTTACATAATTCGGTTACGATTCCTTAGAATTGTTATTGTCATGATTTTATGAGACATTTTGTCGAAGTTCCGGTTAGGAATGGCATCATCTCTAAGAAAAGAGATATTTGAGGAAAAAATAATGAGCTAAATTTTCCCGTCATAGAATTTTAAAATCGTAGCACAAACTGAAAGAGAAATAAGTAAAAGTTAACGACTTACTTGAATGAAAATAATACTTGGAAGTAAATATACGTTATTCAAAAGCGAGTCGAAGGAATAAAAATACATTAGATTTTTGTTTATCATTATTATTGTTTTTTTTTTTATAGAAAATTTCCATGCAACTTTTTAGGGTATTTTTACTTGAAAAAGTATTGTATTTTATAAATTGTTTGGTGTTATTTTTTTAGAATTTTTTATGTTAGACCATGGAAAAGTATTTATTCGTCTTACTGCAGAGCCGTCTGTTTCAATTTCTTTTCCAATGCCGGCTCATAACTTAATTACAAAGACTATAAAAACAGAAAGTTAGGACTCAAAACGAAACTCAGTTCATTTTATCGCCTCGTTTGAAGGACTTTTATAATCTCTTTTAATAAGTACTAAACATCTGTTTAAAGAGTAGTGTCCGCATTTCCAAATTTGTGCAAACGGTAAGTGGGCGAGAAAATCTGCATAATACAATGAAAATTGCAGATAAGGGGAGGGGGTGTTCTGCCACACTGGATATTAATTACCATAATTGATTACTTGATATTTCAACACGATAATGACTGCTTATTACTCACTTCGGATGCTTTTGCAAATTATCTTAAAGCACTAATTAATTTTATCGCTCCCTCTCTCTCTTTGAGCTTAGCAATTTTTTTTACAAGACCTTGTGTTTTAAGTTGTGATGATTTTTCTTGGAAGGGTAAGTTTGAAATAGTTTTCTATGAAATGGTGTGTTTTGTATAAAAAAATATTTTTAACGCTTGAGTGCATGGCACAATTGTCGATGTTAGTGAACGAAGGCTCTTAGTGACGTTTTAATAAAGTTGAGTGCGTTAGCTTTAAAATGCATACGTTGCTTTCTTTTGTTGCACCTCTAACTTGCACCTCTATATATATATATATATATATCACAATAAATAAATACAAAAAGAAAAAAAAGAGAAAAACAAAGAAAATTAAGAAAATCAATAAGTTTTATTTGCTGCGCATAAGTTGTAAGTATATAGTACTGATAAAATAAGTTCAAAGACATGCAAAGAAATTTTTGAAAAAAATTTATAAAAATCCGGAAGAAAAAGAAGATATAATCTCATTGATCATATATTTTTTAAAATTTTTTTCCCGGATTTTTATAAAAATATTTTTTTTAATTTATTTCTTTCTTCAATTTTTTCATTATTCTGTAATTTTTCCATGTTTTCTCTACATTTTGAACTATATATATATAAATATTATGTAGATAATGTAGATATATAATTTAAAAATACTTCAGTACGAACGCGACATAAAATGATCCCACTACTCTCTATTAATGCTTCTATTTCCATATTTTGTAATTTAGCAAACATGTTACGAAAATATTTTAAATCATTTTTGAAAGATGCTTGTAAGTGTAAGAGCATTTGAATTCTCTATGCTTTATATATTACATTGTGTGTTTTATTCTGTATTTTCTTGAATTTTTATTTTATATTTTTGCTTAATATGTTTTATTTTGTTAAATTTTTTTTGGCTTTCCTCACACTATTGTATTCATAAATTTTGCATTTGCTATATTTATACAATATGCCGGGTAGGTGGACGAGCGGTTAGCGTGCCTGACTGCGAAGCCAATGACTGCAGGTTCGAATCCCGCTCAGGGCATGGATGTTTCTCTACGTGTGTTGTCCTCTGTTGTGAATGTGGCCCACCCTATGAGCGGGTATCTGAGGAAGTGTGGCGTGGGAAATGGTGCCCACTGGGTAACGTTAAATGAGCAACACTTCCGGCGTCTTCCGAGGTGAAGAACGAGTTCAGTAACTGCCGTTAAAAAATATTAATACAATATTAGAAAGCACTCATTTTCGCGTATATAATCGTGTGAGCTGATGACGAGATTAGATCTTTATTTTTTTTACATCGAATATCTTTATTTGGTGTACAAGGTAATTTTGAAAGGTGGCTGAGCTGTTTACCAAAAGCGGCAAATACTAATTAATCTCAAGCTTGTCATTCGGTAAACAAAGGTGGAATTGCCTTTTAGCCCTCCAAATTTTGAGGGTATACTGAAAAGCGTATCATTAATCCTTGAAACTTTCAGCTAACATTTTTTGGGGCTGTTTTGGCACAAATCGCATTAAAGAAGTGATGTTGAATCTTTATTCATTACGCTCCTTATGATTTACATTAATCAGGCTGATATGTTAATTTGTTACGAGTTTTAAATCAGACTTTTTTAATGTTAATTCAAGATTCATGTCACCTTAAAGATCAAAATTGTTTATTTTCATTCGAAGTTTATTGAAGACTGTATGAATGCCTGTTATTCGTAGAAATAAGAAAGAGCAAGTAATTAATAAATCGCTACTAATAAGCACACTGC